TCAGCTTTGCAAAAGAGCACAGACTCATCTCTCTTCTTTGAGTGACAATAGAGTTCTTAAGGACCATCTACCTTAAGAATTTTCTAGTCCTTCAATTCTACTGGAAGTGCCTGGAGGCCAAGAAAGTGATGCTTTTTCTTTTTCTTGAATCTCCAACTTCCCTAATATTTGTTTATCATCAGTTCTGCATCATTGAAAATGATAAAACTACATTTCTTTTGAAACGTTCCATTATTTTCACTTGCTGAAATTGGCTCTTATTCTAATTCGTTGCAATGGCATGCTTTCAATTCACAGATTACAATTATCTACCATTTCAGAAGATGTTATATATTTCAAAGCACTGACCCAACGAGCGAAGGGCCCATTTCTCCATTTGAATTCATCTGCTTTTCACGATCAAAGAGAGTTGTGTAACCTAATGTGTTTTCTTCTTTGCCTTGGTTACCAGGAAGCTCAGAGCTATACAGGTTGTGTTCAACTGCTGAAACTGTCATCAGCCAGGATTTCTTAACCCATTCACTTTACTCTCTACCTTCACATCTTAGCTCCTACTTTTTGCTTTGTTTTAATGGCTTCACTTCTTCTATATCTGTGTATTTATTTTAAGTTGCCTCAAAACCTTTTTAAAGGCAGGAATAACATACATATGTATGTATGTGTGTGTGTATATGTATATATTCATGTATATATGTATAATAAACACATATGCACATATCAAATACTGAAAGTATATCTATTTCCCAGATATCTTCTGCCACACATTTCTCAGCTCCTGTGTCCCCTCCAGTAGTCTATTTTTCCACGTACCCATTAGAACATCCAGCTCCTCTCGAGTTAGTGGATCTAAAAAATAAACTTCCCCCATGAAAGCATGAGTTAGCAATGTAAACATAAGTGAAGATTTTACAGACGACCCTTAAGAAATACGTTTCTGTTCTTTTCTCCAAACCCCTTCTTTGGTTAACCTACTATGAGTTAATTTTAATAATCTAAACCAGGAGTCAGAAAACTTTTTCTGTAAAGGGTTAAGACTTTGTAACAGTCTAGACTTTGTGGACCATGAGGTCTCAGTCACAACAACTCTAGTCTGCCATTGTATTACAAATGCAGCCATGGACAATGCGTAAACAAATGGACATGACTGTGTTTCAATAAAACTTTATTTATAAAAATATGTTCTGGCCCATGACCCTAGTTTGCCGGCCCTGATCCAAACCTTACCCCCTCGTATCTGTCCTCACTGGATCCCTCTCAGTGAAGTGTCACTCCAGCCAACTCCAATGTGCCATCTATTCAAGTTAGCTCAAGCATAACAGAAGGTTCTCCATTTAATGGGTCAGAATCCTCTCTCATCAGTTGGCAGTTTCATCACATATTTTATGCTTGAAAAATACCCTGTGTGAGTTTCTCCTCCTCTCACATATACCAATAGTTTTAAAAAATATTTCTTTCTACCACATACAGTGATCACAAAACAAATTTAGATAAATATTAAAAATATATCAGCATCTGTATAAGCTATGGTATCTTTATAGCCTATAGCTATACTTGAGGTTAGAAAGAAGGTTCAATCAAAGGGCAGAAAAACAAGTCTTCATGCCAACATTCCTCAGCCACGTGACCCTGGACAGTAATCTTTCTATGCCTCAGTTTTCTCGTCTGCAAGATGGGGGTAGGAGTTCACCCGCCCAAAGGCCAGTGTCTGGACCAGAAATCCCTTGGAAGCGCTCTCTGGAACTTAGGTCATTTCCCAGAGTAGTGATTTCCAAGTGATTTCAGGAATGAGAATTCCCCGGGGTGCTTGTTAAAACACAGATTGCTGGACCCCGGCCTGAATTTTGATTCAATAGGTCTAGGGTGGAGCCTGAGAATGTGCAGGACCACCTAGTTCTGCTCCTGCTGGTCCAGGGATCACACTTCGAAAGCCACTAGTCTCCATGATGGAGATCCCACATGCCCTCATTTGAGAAAGTAATGGCGGAGCAGGGCTGGAGAGGGGTGTCATACAACAAGTTCTTCTTCATTTTTTCAAAATGGAGTTCCTTCTTGAAGGAATAACGAATGAGTTTTGTGTGCCCACTAAGTCTCAGACACTGCAGCCACACCTCACTACTATTCACAGGCCGAAAGGAGGCAAGGGGTCACTCTCACGGGGCCATGTTGGAACATAAAGGCCAATGGGCAGCCAGGTGAGCCATCTGGGGAAGGATAGGGAAATGGGAGACAGTGGAGAAGCGTGAGGCAAATATACCATCACACAATTCCTTTGTATAAGCCAAACTTCTAGAACTTTCTCTTTCCATAAGCACAAAATCAACACAAGCATTGACTGAGAGTCGATCATACACAAGCCCAGTGCCAAGTAAGGCAATGTGAGATGCAAGGAAACTGCAGACTGCCCTCAGGGACTCTCCATCTTATGTGTTCACACACTTGATTATCATATGTCAAGACAAACAGATAATTAGATGCAGTCTTACTTAGTATGGAGATAGAGGGTTCTGGAGAGAGGAGGTTGGTGGACTTGAGAGAACTGGACAGGCTTTCCCAGAGGAAGTGAGATAGGCTGGCAGGGTCCTGGATGGACAGGAAGGATCTGAAGTAGTGGAAGGGTGAGGAGAAGATGGCCAGAAGCCTGAGTGCGCCTGGAATATCAGCAGAGGGGATGAGAATGAGCATAGGGGACGTCTAAGCCTGTCTCTACCCCTCCTTATGTGAACGCCCTCAAATCATTTCCATTTCTTTGTCTCAGTTTCCTGATCTGAGGAACAGGAGTTTTGAGCTAACTTGCAAGTTTCCAAACTTCGGGCCATCTTGGAGAGACCCTGGGCCACTCGAAGGTAAATGAGCAAGCTGGGCTCGGCCCTTCTTCTGGTCCCACCTCTGGTTCAGCCAGAGAAGCTCTGCGTTCTTACATTTTTCACCCCTTGTTGAGTTTCACTTCCAGAAAGGATTTGAGAATCACTCAACAAGAAACTCTGTAAAGGCTTTTTCCATTTGTGTATTGGGTGGCTGAGTAGAAAAGAGAAAGATGCCAGTTAACACAAGGGATGGGATCGCTGGGTTGGCTGGGCTAGCTTCTGGAACAGCTTGGCAGCAGAGGGGAGCTGAGCCCAATGGGGACAGGAATTAGGGACCCATTGAAGGTTCATGAGTGGAAGAGTACCACAGGGAGGTGAGTGAAATAGGGCCACGAGTGCTGGAGAAGCAAACTGATCTGAAAATCTCAAGAGCCCAGAAGGCTCTGAGTAAAAACAAAGGGTGATTTTTCCCCCTTGTCAGCCTTCCCTCCCAGGACACTGTACTGTATGCAAAGCGGGTAACTGTAAGACAAACATTTTTTTCCACTGCCCTTCTCAGCCTCACGGGCCTTCAGAAAGACCTGCACTTCAAGCAAAGCCCTTTTATTTTTCAACACCCACAGCTTCCATTCAATAATCACAAGTTTTCCACTTTCATCAAAGAGACTGAAGAGAGAGGCCGAGGGAGCAGCCTATTCTCAGCAGCTCTGGGCAGACTACAGAGCCCCCGGCTACCCACTCGCTGCCCGTGCCCACCACAGGACACAGCTTTCTCCCCAGAGCAGCCAGGGACACACACCAAAAAACACTGGCTAGCTTCATTCCCATCTCGATTACCAGACCAAATGAATGCATGCACCTACTTCTTCCAAAACCAAGTCCAACTTGGGATCAAGGGGGCCTCAGTTTCCGTGACTGTAAAGTGGGTATATTACCTACTGCTCTATTTAGCCCACAAAAACAATTTACCTCTTGATGGCTCTTCCATCTCCAGGATCTATGATGTTACGAGGTCACTGGGAAGGAATATCCAGACCAGCTCCTAGTGTCTGACCCAACTCGAGTGATGCTCAGCAGTTTGGGATCTGCGCAAGGCAGCATTGGGAATCCTCCAAGCTTGGTTTTGGACACAGGACATTTCCCCAGGAGGACGTGGGATTTCTGCTGCCTCTCAGAGATATACTGCAGCCAAAAAGGGAGCAGAAAAAGGAGGGGTGCTACAAAGAATTGGGGACTTCCAAATGAAGTCTTCAAAGAGCCCTACCGGAGGCGGCAGCGACGCAGTGATTCACATTTTAAATGGTGTTTGGAAGTGGAGATGGTTAGTAACCACAGATGTGACCAGCTCTGTCCCACAGGGAATCTATCTACTGTATCTATCTAAATTCCAGACTGGGCCCCAGGGGAATATCTAACCGGAATGGTCCAACACCCTCTGCCAAATCTATTCCCATTCATGAAGTACGCTTACATCACCATCTCACTTGTTCTTCACGGTGGCTGTCAGCGCAGATGGGGAAAGGGAGGGGCATAGCAATTTGTACAAGGCCTCAAGACCAATAAGGGTCCGACTGACATCGGACCTCAGGTTTTCAGCCTTTGAGTGCATAAAGGTTGGAGGATTTAGCATGGGCTTGGGGACCAGCCAGGTATGACTATGCACCTAAGTTATTTCATTCATCCATGGTTGTAACTTTGCTTGAGACGCTTTTCACTTTCTCTGATCCTCAATTTTCCCGTCCGTGAAAAAGAAAGGTTACCTGCCTCAAAAAGCGGAGATGAGGGTGGAGCGAGGCAGCGTGAAAAGCTCCCAGCACCGTGCCCGAGTCAGTAGGGGTTCAATGGTGGCAGTCAAATACATACACACACCACACCCAATAGGCACCACACACATACACACAGAACATGCACCACACAACACAAATGCACACCACACATGCACCACAAACACAAACCACACATGCATCACCCACATGCAGCACACGCAGACACCACATACCCACCACCCACACCTAGCACACGCACACACTGCACGGAACACAGCCCCTCCCACATTCCACGCCACACTGCTTCCCCACCCTCACCCTCCTCGCCAATTCCTTCCCCTTTTTATGAGTTTTATAGCAGGTCCAGGTTTATCTGCCAGTTTCGCAGATCCCAATACACCTTGTAGGAATTTTTGTTCAGAAGATCAATGTTTCCAGACTCCTGCTTTCAAACAATATCTTTGAACCTGTCCCCACACTGCATACTGCCACAAGCCTGTCCCCCTTTGGATAAATCTTCACATTTTCGGGCTCTTCCTTCCCAGATAGCTGGCAGCATTTCCAGTTTTCAGCAGAAGCTGATCGAATCAAACTGAAGACTTTTGAGTCATTCTACTGCGGTCCAAGGAATCCAGTCTCCCCAGGACATTCTCTGATGAGGTCTTCTGAGCCGCAGGCCTCGCAAAAGAGAATGTGCTGTTTCTCAAGCAGGAAGGCGTTTTGTGGCTGAGTCTAAACTGAAACAGGAGTTTCTTTGTGCGCGCACACACACACACACGCGCGCGCGTAGGGAAACCGTCATTTTCCTACTCGCGCCCTCTGACATCAGCCACCTTGTCTGTAGCTACAGTTTCTCTGCACTCAGATATTAATCCCAGGAGGTGAAAAATGAGCCTCTCCCCCACCCTTGCTGCCGCCTTTCGCCTCACGCCCCCAGAGAAGAGTTTCTTCACCAGGCAGCCGGTGAAGGTTTTTTTCCAAGTCACATGATCCAGGATACAGGGGAGAATCCTTCTTGGAACGGAGATGGGCCCAGAACCGAATCAGATGAGGACAGATAAGGTGTGATGTGGGGGAGACTATATAAGAATGGACCCAGGGCTGCAGCAAGCACTCAACCGAGTGGCCCCTTCTCAAGACGCAGTCATGCATGTGCCAGGAGGCTCCGTCGCCAGCCACTTGGGAACCACCAGGCGCAACTACTATTTCACCACGGCCACGCTGGCTCTGTGTCTCGTCTTCGCCGTGGCAACCATTATGGTGTTGGTAGTTCAGAAGACGGTAAGTGGACTCCTCTTTCTCGCCTCTCCTTTCTTATTTATGTTCCATTTTCCCCAGAGAGAGAGCCTTGGGGATAAACTAATAAATTGATTGAGAGCCAAAGCAAAACATATATCATGTAGAGAAAGGGAGAAAAGAAACGGGAACTTAACTCTGAAATAGTTTGCATTTTTGAGAGAAAAATGTGGTGAGCTATCATTATTTCAAAACTTCCCTGTCTTGTATAAGCCAAGAGAAGGGAGAGGAGCTATCAGCCTCGAGAAATTAAGATTTAAATCTTGCTGAGCCAGCGACTTGTACCAAGGAAGGAGGCCATAAGGAAACCTGATAATATATTTGCCCAACTTGCTATCATGGATTCAAGGTCTTCAGATCAGGTTCCAAGGATCTATATTTTTGGTCCAAATGTTCCTGAGATTTCTAAGGCTTCATCTATAACCAGGAGATTTTTTAACAAGGAGCTAAGTTTCAGAGGCCCAGGGCTGTAAAGGAAGGAGGCAAGAGAGAAGAGCAGGGCTACCTAAAGCTTTGGGCATTTCAGTGTTAAAACACCAAGACGAATTGAACGCTCCCTCCGTAGCCACTGCTTTGAACAGCTTAGGCTGTCACAAGAAACAGCACAGAGGCAGAACGCAGAAATGTTTTTAACACCTGTTCCCTCTAAGACTTCTCAGAATACTAAAACTACAAGCAATTATGGGTACACATTGTGGAGTCAAACTGTTGCAGGAAATTTACTTCATCTGAAGTAAATGGTAAGATTTGTCACCAAAACAGAAGAGATGAAGAAGGAAGCTTCTTTGTATTTTAGGAAAGGGGTGTTTACAGAGAATCCACCAGTATGTGTTTTATAGAAAATACTGCACTGATAGGATATACTGCTCATGAATTGTTTTAATGAAGTAAAGTTTTTGTTAATTTTGATAATTTAAGAACTCTACCCCCACACCCCCAAACATACCCTGCCAAAGTGAGAACATTCTGTTGATTCCTTTATTCTTCCCATTTTTCACAGTATGAAGTCCTGCAAAATGTGTTCTGGTTTTCCTTTAATTCTCAGGCTGAATGCTCTATAGCTTATCGATTGCTAAAAAGAACCAGGCTTTAAAAGACTTTGGTATCTCTTTCTCAAGTGTCATCCAGCTTTGAAATTTAAATGAAGCTCTAAGGCTCATATCTCTTAGAGAAAGAAAACAGAATGGCCAACATTTGATTTAGATAGTAGAATTTAGAAAACTCATCACTTAATGGGCTCATAGACATCTACTAAAAATAGTGCTCTTGAAAACATTCCAGGGCACGTTTTTTTCTGTAGAGGCTCTATAATTTCTGTAATTCTAATTTGAAGTAAATCAGAGGTGTATCATTTTATAGCAAGGGCCAAAGAAAAGAAATTGAAGTGGACTTCTAAAATTTCTTTAGTTAAGCTTGAAGGGAAGAAAGAGAGAGAGAATGAATGAAAGAAGGAAAGAGAGATGGATGGATGGATGGATGGATGATTGGATGGATAAATGGATGGAGGGATGATGGATGGATGGATGGATGGATGGTTGGATGGATAAATGGATGGATGGATGATGGATGGATGGATGGATGGATGGATGGATGGATGGATGATAGGAGCAGGGGGTTGGGATGTGATTGTGATACATAAAGCTACAGACACCTCCAGAATGGTCCTTATTCAAATCCCAATTTTAGTTAAACTAATTCTTTCTATAAAGGAACTGGAGTGGATCTTTCTGCTTCGTTTTTGTAAATGTGGAAAAAGAATAACAGAAAGAGAACAGGGCTTGAACTAAGTCATCCTGAGAAACGGGTAGAGTCAAGAATGCTTGATTGTTTAATGAGAACAGCATTCCCTTTGCCAATACAGACAGCAACAAAGCACTAAGACATTGTGCTCCTACTCTTCTCTTGGAAGCTTTATCTTCTTGTGCACCTGTTTCCTTGACTGACCCCTCGTATTTGGCTATGTAAAGATTCACTTCACAATCTGATTGTATGGTGTGGTGTGCTGTGATTTCTTAGCCTGAGAAATATCAGTTACTTACTTAAAAGCTAAGGCCTATAATACTAATTGTGGTAGTCAATGTTAAGTGTTTTACACATTTCATTTCCAAGAAATTATTCAGACATTAAGTGTTGTAAGAGTCAAGAAGAGCTATCCCCTTGAGCTTGATTTGTCATGGGAAACTTCCTGTAGCAAGAGGGAAAGCAGGCTAACTTTAGAAAAGGTAGAACTTAGACCAAGAAAAAGACTCTAACAGGACCTCTGGTAAAGAAATCCCTGCGAGAGACCCAAGGAACTTAACCTCACATCCCAATTATTAAAAAAAGGAATCAGTTGATGGCTACATAGCACTCTATGTGTGAGGTTGGATGGGGGCAGGGTTGGAGAACCATGAGAACGGTTTTTGGCCTAACAAGTCATAGTTCTAGGTAAAAAGGCAAATTTACAGACAAAATTTAAAACAAGATAAGTCATAATATATAATAAGTGATGGAAGGTAGACACATAGGGCCACCATAAGACCACAAGTTAAGGAGACAGTGTTTTCCCAGGTTTAGGAAAATCTTTTCTGGAGATTAGAGTTTCAGACTAGCTTGAGAAATGTGTACAATTTAAAAGAGGTGGAGAGGGAAATCAGAGGAGGGGTCCCTCCTGGCCAATGGAGCTGTGTGAGCCAGAGATGGAGAAGAGAAGATATAGACCATGTGGGAAAATCAAAGATCACCCTGAGGTTTGGCCTGAAGATCAAATAACTCCCAGGTCAAACTCCTTGGGAGAGACAAAGAAGGCACTTGGGTTTCAATCTCAAGTATTTATTGAGCATCTACACTGTGCAGGACGCTGTTCTAAGCAGTATGGATACAGCCTTGAACAAAGCCAACAGAATCCTTCTTCCATGTTGCTTCTGGAACTTACTGTCTAGCAAGGTCTATAAAGTCTCTATAGAGGTTTCATTTTGTTTTACTTACATTTAAACCACTATATTTGTTATAAAATATTATGTTCACATGGCTTAAGAAAGGTAAACAGTGAACAAGGAAGAAGAAAGAAATCAAAAATCTGTTATACCCTCTCCACTCAACCACCAGCCCCCCTTCCCTGAGATAACCACCATTGACAGATTCTTCCATGTCCTCCACAAAAATCTGTGTGTCTACAAATATATAGTACACACATGTCATTATAGTAAACTCACAATTTTGCACCTTGCTTTATTGACCTGACAGTGTATCATGGAGACCCTTCCATGCCAATACATGGAAGTCCATCTCATTCATTTGAAGAGTCATAGAGTGTTCTCTTGTATGCCTGCTTCATAACTTTTAGAGAAGGATGCATGTTTTTCTTTAGAATTTTTGCTCACTCTGCACATCTCCAAGTATATCTGTGGGATAAATTCCTAGTGGTGGGAATAGAGTGCATTTTTCACTTCAATAAATACTGTCAGTCATGGGGGCCGGACCCATGGCCGAGTGGTTAACATTCCATGTACTTCGCTTCAGAAGTCCAGGGTTCGCAGGTTTGGATCCCAGGTGCCAACCTACTCCCTTCATCAGCCACGCTTTGTGGAGGCATCCCACATACAAAGTAGAGGAAGATAAGCAGCATGTTAGCTCAGGGCGAATCTTCCTCAAGCAAAACAAGAGTAGGATTGGCAATGGATGTTAGCTCTGGGAAAATCTTCCTCACGCACACACACATACACACACACAAACCCAAAAAGCTGTCAGCCAGCCTCCAAAGAGATTGTACCAATATACTCTTGAGGGAGTAAAAGTCCTACCAACAAAGACGCACCTCTTAGTGTCAATATGGAAAGAATGAAAATTGATTTATTATTGAGTAAGCACAACATAGTACACGCACATATGTCAGGATGAAATGCCACACAATTTATACAGTGAAGCAAAAGGAAAAACTATAAAATTTCTCTTATCTCTTCCAGAGACAGAAGTTTATATAAGGAGATGGGCTGCAAGATTGACACTAGAAGTCTTTACATTTCAAGGGGCTCTGAGGTCTTCCATCTTAGGGACATCTCTGTGTTATAAACCCAGAGAGTGGGCTTATCCAGTCCCTGGAGAGATTTATTTACATTCCAAAAGGTTGCAGCAAGGACCCAGGATCATTAAGTTTTCAAGGAGAATCTTTCTAGAAAGAAGAGAAAGCAGCTGCCACCTCTTCCCTTTATTAGCAAAGAAAATTCCCTTTTTTAAAAATTTTATCCTTACAGTACCACTTAGTGTCCCCACCAAGAGTGGAGCTGAGCACCTCTGAAGGGGTAGTGATTGTTGGAGGTGGTGGTATGGTTTTTTGATTTGCTTATAAGCTCAGATAAAATATCGGGTGAGTTGAAATGCCCTGTGATGCTTCCTTCTACCCAAGTTACTCTCTCCAGTGCATTCATTTTATCAATGAAAAAAAATCCACTGAGAATCTTTTCAGGGGCAAGCCCTGTGCTGGGCTGTGAGGGAAGGGCCCCCGTGGACAGAGCAGAACCTCTGCTTTCTGGGACTTCTCTAAGTTGGGGACACTTAGAGTTTGAGTTTGGGGCAGAATGACACAGAATGCCATAGATCAGAGGAGAGGAAGACAATTTCTGCTTGGGATGAGAGACGAGTTTGCAGAAGAGCCAGAACGGAAGCTGAGCCTCCTCCAAGAATTAGAAGGATCATGCCTTATGCCCAAAGTTTTATTTTGAAAATTTTCAAACCTGTAGAGAAGTAGAATGGTAAACACCCATATACTCTTTCACCTAAATTCGCTGTGTTAGTATTTTTCCATATTTGTGCTCTTCCTAAAGTATATATGAAAGTAAGTTGCAGACAGCGTGACTTTTTGCCCACGTCTATCTCAGCACCCATTCCCTACTTACAGCAATGCCGTTATCATGGCAACGAGAGTTAATGTTAATTCAGTAATATCATCTAATAATAAACAGTCCATATCTTAATTTCTGCACTTGTCCAAAAATATCTTCTATAGC